CTCCGAGAGGGTTTGGACCACAGACTTCCAAGCTGAGCTGCTCAGTCCCACGCTGCCTTTTATCTTTGCACCCATTTGCACCCACTGCTGTTTACATTCTCACTGACACTTCCTTTTAAGTTTGCGCTCTTTCATTAAAAAAAAAGAAAAATAATTACAACGCAGCTCTTTGCTGCACCCAGAGCTTAGGTTATGCTGTGGGGGAACTCGAGGACATCACCTGGGAAAGAAACATCAGCCAGTGACACACCAGGAGTTCCCTTTGCCTTTGGCTGACCGTGGCCACCTGCAGCAAAGCCCCCCCTGGCACGGCAGCAGCAGGGCTGCAGCTCTGCAGGCAGCCAGCCCGTCTTCCAAGCACCTGACTTCCATTTTTGCAGCCTGGTGAAGAACAGCAGCTAAAAATGCTGGAAGATGCAAAGCCTCCGTAAGCAGCTCCAGTGCGAGCACAAATCTTCAGACTGTGGAATGTCATCTGGACCCACAGATTTCTTGGAAAATCTCTGCAGCAGTGCTGAAATCAGATGCTTTTCAAGAGTTCAGTTGTTTTTTCTTTCACCCAGAAGTCTGAATCACAGCCACTTCTCCTTCTAACACTTCTGTTCCAACACCTTAAAGACAGATGAGATGGTTCCAATGCTCCTCATGCAGATCCTGTTGGGATTTTTTGGCATCTTGTCTCTGGCAAGTCCACATTTACAGGACGTCACCTCAAAGATCACTGTTTGTTTTCAGTGTGTGTCTGCCAAAAAAAAATCTGAACTGTCCAAATAACTTCACAGACAGGAGGCCCACCTGCAGAGCCTGAGCACCTTGCCCAATAACCACAGCCAAAGTGACTGCAGGGTGCTGCACAACCCATCACCAACTGCTTAACACCAGCAGAACACGCAGCCAGCTTTAGCCCAAGCACTGGAACCTCCCTCAAGAGCTGCTGGAATAACCAGACATCCCAGTTCCCTACACCAGCCATAGTGGCTAAGCAGGATGAGTCCTCGAGTCTTGCACTGGAGTCCTGTATGCTGCAGAACTGTCACATGTGAGCCATTCACGTGCAGAACTGGGAACCCCAGAAGCCACCAGGCATGGCTGGGGAGGAGGGACACGTGGGGACAGGGCTCTTGGAAAAGCAAGGAGGTGATGGGCATTCCCACTATTTCCAGGCAGACACATAGACAAAACAGCTCAGCAGCTTTGGAGTAAAGCTCCATTTCAAGAGGGAAGAAATTATTTTCTGCTGGATTTTTCTTAATGCGGCCTCTGTTGCCACTAACAGAGCGGCAGCGGGACCAGCCCACACGTGGCACTGCTGCGTCCCACCCGACACGAGGCTGCAAAGCGGAGCGCTGAACGGCAGGGACAACACGGCCTGGAAGGACTCCCTGCAGACAGAGCAGGCACGGAGCTCCGTCAGCCGCGCTCACGGAGGGGCGCTGGGGGCACCAGGCTGTGCTGAGCGCACGCAGCAGCTGCCAGCACTGGGCAAGGGAACACCCTGAGCCGCACCTCGGGGCTCGGAGCAGGGAGGTGCCGCACCGTGCCAGCGGGCCTGTGGCAAGGCCGGTTGTGGGAAGGCCGGTTGTGGGAAGGCCGGTTGTGGGAAGGCCGGTTGTGGGAAGGCCGGTCCCCATGCCTGCCATGCCCACTACCAACGGAAACCCACCCACGGAGCACAGCTGCAGTGCACCGAAGCTTCCAAATTAGCTGCAAAACCACGTTTGACAGCGCAGCAGCTTCCGAGCGAGCAGAAATAACTCGCTTTGCTTCAGAGCCGAGGAGCAAGGGCAGCGCGCATCGGGGCCACAGCCGGGAACTGGGGCGGCCAGGCAGCCCTCAATGAAACCCCGAGATTCCCCGCAGCCCGGCCCCGTCCCGCGTCTGGAGACGGCGGGCAGAACCCGAACGCGGGGGGGGAAGGGGCTTCGCGGGGCGGCCCTGCGGGCGCAGCCGGGCTCGGGCTGCGGGGCCGCGCGGTGCGGGACGACGGGCGGGGCGGGGCGGGACGAACCGCCGGGGGACGCGGCGGCCCGGCGGCAGCGCCCAGCTGGGAGCCGAGCCGCGCTCTGGGAGCGGAGCTCCGCGCAGCCGCACGGAGAGCGAAACCCGCCGCCGCGGACGGGAAGCGCGGGGCAAACGGGCCTCGCGGGGCCGAACCCCGGCGGCAGCGGGCAGGGCGACGGCCGGGCCTCGGACCGGACCGCGGCGGAGCGGGCAGAACCGAGGGCAGCGCCGGGGCTCCCGGAGCGCGCCGGGCCGGGCTGCCGGGCTGCCGGGGGGCGGGCGGCGGGGGGAGGCCCGGCCCCGACGGCCGCGGGGTGCGGGGCTGCGCGGGGCGCGGACTCACCGCGATGACGTTGACGAACGTGGTTTTGCCCGAGTACTGCAGCCCCACCAGGGTCAGCTCCATCTCCTCCTTCCAGAACAGCGCCCGGAACCAGTCCAGCAGCTTGTTGAAAAGGGCCAGCATGCTGCCGCGCCGAGCCCCGCCGGGCCGAACCGTGCGCAGGCGGGCGGAGGCGAGCCGAGCCCTACCAGAGCCGGGCCGAAGCGGGTGGAACCGGGCCGGGCCGCGCCGAACCCCGCCGCACCGCCGGGCCGCGCCGCGCCGCCGCCCCGGTATTGTCCGCGCGCCTCCTGCCGCACCGCGCCGCGCCGGGTGGGGCCCGCGCCGCTCGCCGCCGCTCACAGCGCCCCCTGCCGGCCGGGAGGACGCGAGGCGCGGCCTGCGCGGCCCGGGCCCGGTGACGCGGCGAGGCGACGCCGCGCCCAGCAGCTGCACCGCGTGTCACAGCGCCCCCTGCTGGGCGGGGCGCGATGCGGAGCGTGGAGGCCGGGCGGGGCGAGCGGGGCTCAGAACGTCCCGCGTTCCGCCATCCCGGGGCTCTGCTCCGCCTCGCAGCGGCTCTCCTCGTGCGGGGAGCTGCAGCGCGGCACCGCTCTCCTTACGGAAGGTCATCTCACAGCCTGCCGCGAGCGGCGATCCGGAGGGGCTGAAAGGGGACGGGGCGCTCAGCGGCTCTGTGCGTTGGGCGAGGGGAGGTGGCTTCAGACCGAAAGAGCGGGGATTGAGGTCGGTCACGGAGGCGGTGCTGCCCCGTCCCTGCAGCCCCCAGGCAGGGCTGTGAGCGCTGCTGGGGCTGGGGGTGTCCTGGTGCGCGGCAGGGAGTGGGACCACACGGCCTTAAGGGCCCCTTCCACCTCATAGCGCCCTGTGACTCCATGCTATCGCCAGCACCGGCCGAGCTGGCAGGGCTCTCCGCGCTCCGGGCAGAGCCTTCATCTCGGCTGCCGAGGGTCCCGCTGCCCGGCCGGCCGCTCGCGCTCCCACGGGACGAAGCCGCAGCTCTCCGTGCTGCAGGGCTGCCCGAGAAGTGGGCACGGAAAAGGAAAGCTGAGCTGTCATTGGATCTGCTGTGGGTGCCTCGGAGCCTGCGATAATTCAGGGTGGGAAGTGGTTTCCATCATGTGCTGTGAGCCGCTGGGAAGCTGCCTTTTACAGAGACAGAAACCATTTTGTTTTCAGAGATGCTGCAGGCTGCTGAAGATCCCCACACTTTCGAGGCGGGGCCCTAAAGAAGCAGCAATCTCATCGCTTTGTGTCATTGCTCCCATGTAGCTCCTCCTCATACCGGTGAAAAATTCGGTGTCTCCCAATTCTTGTGTGCAATTTTCTGCCTGAAGATGTTTAGTAACAGATTTCAGCCCAGAGAATGTCCCTACACCAGTTTGGGGCTTCCCACCCAAAGCGCCCGCAGCGCTGATGCTGTTTGCACAGATTGCCTCCTGATAGCACGTGTTGTTCTGCAGTCCCTGCCAGAGGAACTCCATCAATGCAGCATTCAGGCGAAACGCAGCAGAGGGGGACCTGTGTGATCCATCCCCACGCCAGGCAGACATGAGCAAATGAGCAAAAAAGGCCCTTTTCTTGCACTGACCGGCCACAACGTGGGGTAATGGGTGGTAATGGATGGCTTATTCTCCATGTTCCCCATCTCACTCTTTAACTCTGAACTAAAGAGCAGCAGGGATAGACACCACTCCCACACCCCTCAGTGTCCCCAGTGCTCCCAGCCACCAGGTCAACCTGTCCCTCTGGTGCTGAGCAAATGATGCTGGTGCACCTCATCCTCTCTGGGTGCCACTGCTGCTGGACCTGTCAGGGAGACTGCAGGGCCTCTGTGAGCTCCCTGGGCTCCTTGGAGTGTCAGTGTGCCTCAGCATTTCTCCTTCCTGGCCATGGCCGTGGGCTGCTTGGAGTCCACACAGATACTGATGGGAAATTTGTCTGCCCAAGCTCAGGGAATTGATATCAGCCCAGGGCACAGGGGAACATGACATCCTTCCTGTGTGGGATTTTGGAGTGATTCCTTTCCTTTGCATGCTGGGCACATCACAGTTTCCCAGGACGTACCCTGACATAGCCAGACCAGACAGAACTCCTGACTTTGCCCTTGACATTGCAGGAGCCACGGGATGGTGTTTTGCAATAGCACAGCCATAGCTCAGCACAGCCCCGAGGAGTGCTTGGGGAATAAATACAGGCAGGATTGAGAGATACCCAGATGATAGTGCTGTGGTAATGGCTGATAAGTGCCTTGAACAGATTGAGTGGGTAGAAATTGAGATTGAAAGACAGGAAAACTGCTGAACCGATTGTGATCAGCATCAGAGAGCTCGTCTGGCAAAACTCCCAGCCCCGATAGGAAATCTGAGAGGGGTGACAGCATCCCCCCCAGCCACAGGTCTCTGCCTGTCTTGGGAGAGCCTTTGTGCGGCTCCTGCCCTGGCAGCTCTCTTGATACGCATCTGGAAGCATGAGACGAGTTGCACGTCCTGCTGGTGGGAGCGCGAGGAAAGGCCTCGCGTGGTCTGCTCTGCTGTGTGAGCGCATGGCCACTCCTCCTTCACTCCCTGAGAGTGTAGGAACTGCAAGGAGAGGATGCAGATGTTGTGGGGGACGCACAGAGAGGTTCCCTCTCTTCCTGGGCTGCTGACAAGACAGGAGAACTGCAGAGTTAAGGATGAAACTTTTCTATTTACACAGTGAAAAAGAAACAACAAAACAGGTGTATTATTTTGCTCTGATTCCAACAACAAAAAAAAACCCACAGCCCAAGAACACAAACACCCACCCTCGTGTAATGAGGCTGGTTACAATTCGGAGCATAGTGCTTGCAGACGTGCAGACACACTTAGGAGTATCCCCTACTTTAAGGCAGGTGGGAAGGCAATGGCTGAAGGCAGAGAAGAAAGCAGGCCATGTAGCGAAGGCAGCCAGCAGTGCAGCTTTGGGCTAAATCCTCCAGGTGTGTCTTTAGCAGGAAGACCATTGAGGAGTGTGCTGGGAGTGAGCCCTGCGTGTCCCAACTTCTGCCCGCAGATGATGTGCAGCTGGAGGAGAAGCTCTGTTTATTTCTAGCAGGCAGATCCTGTGCGCAGCTTGCTCTTCTGCATGGTGCATCCTGCCGCATGCCTTGTGCAAACCCCAAACCTGCTTGTGGGGCCACAATCCCAACGGCTTCGCTCAGCCTGTGGGAGGCTCAGGCTCATGGCCGGGTGCAGCAGGAGCAGATTCAGCAGAGTTGTCCCAGGTTTGGCACTGGGGGGGTTCAGGGCGAGGCAGCGAGTGGTGGAGCCGGGTGCTAATGGCCCCCTGCTTCTGGCAGCTGGGAAGCATACAGGGCTAGTGTGTGATGGAGAAACTGGTACTGCTCACTGGTCTGGATCATCCCGCCTCTGCAAGGGAAATGCTGACACTCACCAAAACCCCAGCCCTGCTCCCACGGCACAGGCATTCCTGTGTCACCCACCCCATCTACATGCACCCAGAGCTCCTCAAAGAGTGTCAGGGCACGTTTTGTAGGTCAGTGGCTGAGCTGGAAGGAGCGCACCAGCTGGTGGCCTTGGGGCTGCTCTCCTTCACGTCTTTGGGTTCCCAGAGCTAAAATAACCCTGACAACAAAGCCAACCCAAAACCAAGCACCAGGCAATCCTTTGCTGTCCCCACATCTCCATCTTTCAGAAACCCTTCCATTTTCTACCACAAATCACCTCCACACTTCCTTGGGATGCTCATCCCAGCACCCTCCCTCACTGCATCCAGCATCATCCTCCAGGGACGCCTTCCCGAGCACCAACCTGTCGATGCGGAGGCGGCACACGATTCCCAGGATGTCCACATCTCCCTTGTCCTTCAGCTGCTGGCACCCAATCCTGGTAGCGATGAAGCAGCCCGTCCGACCGATGCCTGCACTGCAGATGGACACAGCTGTGCTGAGCACCCACAGTGCCTGGACCTCAGGCTGTCTGAGCTGGTGCTCCTTGGCTGCTTTGCTACCCTGATTTCATCCCTTTAGGGATGCAGAGGTCCCAGTCCCAGCTTTCTCAGGCTGGCCCCATTCTGCCACCACAAGTGGTTCTTGCTATCATGCCCAGCCCACCTGGAGCCACTCTGGAAGCACAAAACCAGTCTGTGCCCCTGTCCTCTGCTGAGGGACACCTGCTAGGAGTTTGCTGTGCACTTTCTGCACAGAGAATGGCTTGTGTGTGTGAGCCCAAGCTGAGGGCAGGGGTGAAGGCTGAGCACTTACCTGCAGTGCACAACGATGGGCCCTGGGCTGGCTGCAGCCTGCAGCGTCTCCTCCACTTTGGACACCAAGTGCAGCAGGGGCTTGGCTGACTCAGGTGTCTGCTGGTCTGGCCAGGAAGGGAAGAGGACGTGTTTGACGTGGCGGCATTCACCTTCCAGCTTTTCCAGAACAGAAGAAAGAGAAATAAGGATCAGGTAGGGTCAGATTGAGACGTTCCCATCCTGTGCCCATCTCATCTGCTCTCCTCCTGACTCATTGAGCCTCTGCCAGAGACCCAAGGAGCCAGGGGCACTTTTGGGTGTCCAAGTGATCTGCCAGGTAGAGTTCCAGTCATGCCCAGGAGCCCTCCTCAATCTCCATGCTGACAGCCCTCTGTCCCCACCCAAGGCTCATCCTGCACAAGTGTTGCTCCCTGCAAACCTCACTGGGCAGACAGAGCTCTGCAGATCCCTCCTCCTACAGAGCCCGGGCATTTTAGAACCCCGCCAGGTGCTGAGCCCCCTGCTGACCCCAGGATGGGGCTTGGACCCACCTGGATGGACAGACTGCGGACCACGTACTCCGCACACTCGCTGATCCCCTGCACACGGATGGTGAAGGGGCCGTAGGTGCCCTCCTTCTCAGGCCAATAGTGGACACATTTCTGCAGGAAGAATGCAGTGTTTGTGCTCTGGACACCCACTGGGGTCTGAGCTGCCCTTTGGTCATTGCTTTGGGGAGGTTTGGAAGAGTGAGGGAGGTGGATGTGGACTGATAGAAAGGGAAGGTAAGGAAGGAACCTGCTTCCCCTGAACACTTTGCCCACACCCTGCCATGTGGTTTTCAGCCCCTGGGGGTTCTCCCTCCCCAGCCCTCCAGGTCAGGGTGCTGTGGAGCAGGGAAGCGGTACCTCCTTGCGCTCCTGGAGCTTGGTTATCATGACGATGATGGGTGCTTCCTCCTGCCACACCATCTCCCAGAAATCAGTCACGGTGTTCAGCATGGGCCCCTGGGTGGCAATGTACTCCCGGGGACGTCCTGCATAGCCCTGCTGAGCACACGGCCCTTCAGGGACAGGGGGCACCTGGTCTGCACCTCAGCCCCCAGCACCACCTGTCCTCTGCAGCAGAGAGCCTGACCTACACTGCCTATTTCCTCCCAAACGTGCCATTGAATTCCTTTCACAGACCCAGCCAGGGTCTGCCAGGAGTCCTTTCCATCCTCCTAGCCCAGCAAACCAGGAGCAAGCCCATGGAGCAAGCCCTGTGCACCGACACTCCATCCAAGCATCCCCAGGTTATTGCTGTGATGACAACAATGGTCACCTCGAGTCTGGGGATATCTGTCTGGGGACCCCATCGGATGCTGGAGACAAGCCACAGTCACCTCTTTTTCCTTTTGGGCAATTAAAACAAACCCTTTGAGGGAAGAGGCAGATCCTGGATGTGTCGATACCAGGCTGGGATGCCCCGTTGGCACAGCTTGCTTCCTGCACTTAATAACAGACCAGTGCATGGAGATGGAGAAGTATCTGGGAGGGAGAGTGTCCAAATGCTCTGCTCACCCAAAACTCACATTGCTAAATGTAAACCAGCTTGAGCCGTATCCCACAGCCCATGTGACACCCGATGTCCCTCATGTGGGCAGAACCCAGGAGCTCCAGCACCCCCAGCCCTGCAGCACCACGAGATGTGGGACACCGAGTGCCCCAGGCAGGCAGTGCTCACCGTGATGTAGTTGGCATTGATGTAGCCGTCTTCCTCCTGGCTCCCTGCCCTCCTGAGGCACACCCGGCTCTCAGGATCTGCAAGACGTAGTGAGAGGTAGCTGGGACCATCCTTCAGAGCTGTGCTCTCCTGCCCGGCTCCAAGCTCAGACCCGCCCAGCACCAACCCCCGCAGCCTTCCCACAGCGCATGAAGGCGACTGGAACAATTCCTCCCCCTTTGGATGTTTAAAGCTGCACGCAGCAGGGAGCGGCCCAGGCCAGGCTGTGATGTGCTGTATGCCCCAAGAAGCTCCCCACAAACCGCCCCATTGCTGGGCTCACACCTCTGCAAGGCAGCTGCCAGCAGCAGAAGCAGCACAGCAGGGGCACCGGGACGCACGGGGGACACCCACAGCACACACAGCTCCATGCACGTGGGGAAACGTGAGACAAAGGGATGCAGCAGCACGTACTGGGGAGGATGGTTTTGTATCTGTCCTTGGAGGCACGTCCAGGGATCTCCAGCTCCTCCGGACTGATGAAGTTGGGTGGGATTTTCTGCAGCAGGGGAGAACAACTTTGAGGAACCCCTCTTAGTGCTGCTTGCATCCCCTCACCGGGCACAGCTGGCCCTGCGGGCAGTGAGATGCTGACCCAGCATCGCCAGAGCTGGCATGAGATCCATCCACACCCCAATGGGCTGGGACACCTCACAGATGGGAGCAGAGCTTGGCACAGGAAGGCTTTCCACAGACACAGGGGAGAGCAAGGAGCGGGCAGACAGGAGATGCGCAGTGCCCCTCCGCCTGCACACCCACCCTCATACCGAGAACTCCTCCTGGAGCTGTGCTAGGTTCTGGGCGCGCTGCTGCAGCTCCTCCATCCTCAGCACGTGGCTGGATGTTCTCAGGAACTGCAGTGTGACGTCCCGTGGGGTGCATACGGGCTGGATGGGCTCCACGCTGCCCAGCGAGCTCATGTCCAGCACCAGCGACACGTTGGAGCCCCTCCTGCAAAGGAGGCAAAGGATCCCCAGTGACCACCGACAACTCATGGGCCAGAGGAGGGGGGTTTGGGGCACTGCGCTTTAAGGCTGGGCAGTGCAAAGTTTGGGCTGTGGGCATTGCCCAGCCTGGCCACGCTCACCTCTCTTGGAGCCGCACGTGCTTCTTCGCAGAGGGACTGGGCTTGTCTGCCTTGTCCATGGCTTTGGTGGCCACCCGGGCTGTCAGGCTGCTGTTATGAGCTCTGTGGCACACTGAGCAGGCTTGGACCATGCTGCGGCAGCCACGAAGCACTCGCCCTGAAGCACGAGGAGTGGGAGTGAGGGGGCCTCAGCTGCCGAGGGAAGGAGTTGCCATCAGAGGAGAAGCGGCTGGAAAACACAGGGCAGATGAGAGAGACACAAGGAGGCTGGCTGGTGAACCCCTTGCTGGACCAGGATGAGAAAATCCCTAAGCAGAGGAGGTGTTTCGGGTCCTCGTTGCCGTGGCATCAGGGCTCCAGGACTCCAGCATCCACGGGTGGCATGGAGAGAGTGCCTGTAGCACCCCACCAGGAGGAAGGATCTGTGGGTTGGATGGGGTGGGATGAGAGCTCGTGAGCTTAACATGGAGGGCAGCAGCCCCCCAGGGATGAGGAGCAGAGGAGGATGCTATGAGGGTCACGGCCAGTTCCTGTTGTTTGGACATACTGGGGTGGGGGGAACGGCCCTGGGACAGCTTCCTCCATCCCTCAAGTATCAGCAACTGTCAAGAGGAAACTGCTCTATCTGAATGGTTGAGCAAGAGGTGATGGGGTGGTCTGGCTGGAGGAGGCTGCCAAGGCTCCACCACCAGCAGCCCCAAACAGCCCCTGGCAGGGAGATGTGGGTGATGCTGGTTCTTCTTTGGGCAGACGTCCCCATGGCGCAGGCAGCAGCTCAGGGTGGCAAAGCTCCTTCTCCTCCCCAGCTTCCTCTGCGAGGAGAGATGGACCCAATGGGATGGGGATGCTGCAGGGTCAGAGCTCTCAATAGGCACATAGCAGGGTACCAAATGGACCAGAGGCTCAGGGACATCCCTACAGAGAACTGGGCACAGACAAAGCTGGGGCTGGAGCAGGGAGGGTCACAGTGTGGCCATGGCCGTGCGGGGTGGAAACACAGCGGGGCATGAGATGAAGCACTCAGGGTCAATCCTGGCTGACCCCACAGTTGTCCTCAGTGCCACGGGCACCCCTCATAGCTGGGAGCAGCAGGCTGGGACCACAGCATCACCCAGGAAACACCTGGGAAAGGCCCCAGCCGAGCTGAAGGCACACAGGAGGACCCTGAGATGAGCTTCTGCTCCCGGCATCTGCCCCAGGAGCATCCCACGTCCCCACATCCCACCTCCCCACCAGCATCCCTGCGGGGGGCACCTGCACCGCCTGCAGCGAGCACACGTGCCAAGGCCTGCTGCTGCTGCGGGGCTCGCCTCTCCAAAGGGACCCTCGCGGCCGTGCCCCAGCCCGGGGGTGCCTTACCTGCGGCCCGAGGCGTGGGCTCCGACCGTCCCGGCACGGGGCCGCGGGCGCTGTGCACGTCGGTCTGAACCCGGGGGTTTGAAAGTGTTCAGGAAGCTGCTTATCAAAGGAGCTGTTGCCTCTGCCGCTTCCTCTCCCTCCTTCTCCCCCACCCTGCCTGCCGCCCACACACATACCGGCCACATCGCCGCAGCTCGGCTCTGCCGGGCAGCCCGCAGCCCCGCTCCCCACCAAAGCCCCCTCATGTGGGCAGGGCGCTGCTGCCCCCCGATCCCGGCGCTCCTCCGCGGCCATCGCCGCTCGGGGCCTCCGTGCCCACCTGCAGCCCAACGCGGAGAGACGGGAGGGAGCTGCACGGTGGGTTTGAGTGTGTCCTCACGGCACGCGGTGACCCCACCGCGCCCCACGGGGAGCCACCACGCGGCCCCGATCGTTGCCGCCTCACCGCATCCCCCATCCCACACCGCACCCACCTAAAGGGAGCGAAACGCTGCTTTGTTCCCATATCAACGTGCTCAGCAGCCACATGGGTGCCATCGCACCCCGACTGCGGGTCAGGGAACGTCTGGGGGGCGTTTTACTGAGGGAGCGGCTCAGGTACCGCAGGGTCTGCCCTTGGGGCACTGCACATCCTGCCTGCGATGCCCGTTGATGCTCACTGCCTCCCACCGTGTCCCTGTTGCTCTTCCTGTTTGTCGCTGCCCCGGCTCTGTGCACAGACACCGCACGCCCCGCTTCCTTCCTCTCCTGCCCCCACCCTGCAGCATCCCCTGCTGTTCCCCCTGCTCTGGGATGCAGTGGCCCCAATGCCACTCCACAGCCAGGGGATTGGAGCTGCCCAGTCCCATTGCTTGGTCATACAAGGGCCACCACCATCTGTGTCTCATGAGCAGCTGATGGGATCCCAGCAGCCTCCGGGGAACTGACCCATCTTTATGCAGAGTGAAAGGGCCTAAGGGCAGCCCAACATGGACAAGGAACGGCACTGCCCTTCCCTCCTGCCCTCCATCCTTCCGTGTCAGAGCATGGGGCAGCCTCCAGTCCTACAGGAAGGAGCTGTTGGGGCTGGGTGACCTGCAGAAGGGCTGGGTGGTGGTGGGTGGGGATGGAGGATGGAGGATGGAGGATGGAGGATGGAGGATGGAGGATGGAGGATGGAGGATGGAGGATGGAGTTGGCCCCATGGGGTCACAGATGTGCCTTGTCCCATCCTCCCTCCCTGCCTCACACAGGAACACTGCTGCATGGCCATCTCCTGACTCACTCCAGCCCCTGCTCCTGGAGCATGCCATCCTCACTGCATCCCCAGTACACAGCAGTGAGCAATGTAGGTAATACTTCGCACCGTTCCAACATTCTCCTTCACTCCTGCTCTGATGCAAAACCACAGCACTCACCAAGGGTTCTTGAGATCCTGCTGTCACGCAGCAAACACAGATTAAGGCCAGGGGTGTGAAGGGGTGTTTGCTTCCAGGAGCTGGGGATGAAGCCTAGAGCTGTGATGAGGAATGGTGATGGGGACTACTGATAAAAGAATAGACCCAAAGGAAAGGGATGAGGCTGCTACCGCATCACCACCTCTGGTGAGGTTCCCAGTGTGCCAGGATGGGTTCGGGTCAGGGTTAGGGTCCTCTCAGGATAGCTGTACAGATGCTTTAGGGTCATGAGTTGGGATTTAGGAACTTTAGAGATGTGTGGCAGTGCCATAGAGGTCTTCAGAGGGCTGTGTGATTGTGGTTTTATTTTCAGCATCCCTAACAGAAAGTGCCCTACAGATCTGCTGCTTGGGGGACATGTAGGTTCATCCCTGGGTTGTTCATTTGCATTTTACAACTCCACTTCCACGGGGTCACTTTGCACCCTGAGCACCCTCTGCCCACACACAGCAGCTCCCAGCTCCAGGTGGGAGTTCTTCTCCCTCAAACAGTCTCTTTTCCCTTCTCTGCCCCCCAAACCTGAGCACAAACCCTGCCCCACACCCCCCAACCCTTCTCTGAGCAGCACCGTGGCCCCAAAGTCACCACCGTGGGTCACTGCGCAGTCACTGCTCCAGCACCCAAAGTTCTGATGGTGCCCCACAGCCGCGCTCCCCCGGGGTCACCCACCGCAGCACGCTCTGCTCTCACCAGGCCTCCACCATCTTTGGGTCTGGTGCTCACGCGGGGCTCCTGCTGACACAGTTTGGAGCTCAGGAGGTCCTGCAGACTTTGGAAATGTTCCCATCTCCTTTCTGCCAAAACATCCCTCATGAGTACGAAGGTGAAGCGGCCGCCTCAGCATCCAGCAGCCTCCGTTGGCAGGGCTGCTCAGCTCCCAGCAGGTGCACAGAGGGCTGTGCCATCACCCCGAGCATCCCGCAGAGCCCGCGCAGGAGGTGCGAGCAGCCCGGGCGCAGCGCAGCATCGGGGGGCCCAGCGTCACAGGGCCAGCACCCGGCAGCTCAGCCAAGCACTCTGCAGATTGCTTTTCCCGGAGCAGCTTCCTCTGCGTGAGCGCATTCCCAAGGACAGCCCCAGGCTCTCAGCGCCGTGCGGACGGCCCCGCTGCACGCACGGAGCTCCCGGCGCTGCTCCGCTCCCGGCCCGGACCCCCACGCGTCCCCTGCATGGGGCTGCTGCTGGGGACGGAGGGCTGGGAGCGGTGTGTGACCTTCCCACCGCTTGCAGGGACGCAGCCTGCCGGTGCGGGCTTTGCTCCTGCCGCTGCCCGGCTCTGTCTGGAAGTGCTGTTTAATTTTTTTAAGGTATCTGCAGCTGAACTTGCCAACCCGGCACTACTGCTTCTCTCCTCAAGGAGAAGCAAGAGGACGGCTTTCTGCAGGGATTTCTCCTTCTCTGTTTGTTTTTCCTTCTACTACTTTTTGTTTCCTAGATCTCTCGCAAACAAGCCGAGCTGCCCTCCGATCTGCAAAGGGAGAGCAGAGGTAAAGCAGTGACCCATCAGCCCCGTGTGCGTGGGGCTGGCAGCGACACAGCCGGAGCCGACGGGGGTTAATAGGGCTGCGTGCGCACAGGGCAGCCCCTGGAGACGCGTTCTCCTGCCGTGGGGGTGCTTTATCCCCAGCTGTGGTGTTTGGATACGGGCACCTGCAGCCCTCGGTGCTGCCCGCGGGGGCACAGAGCACGGTGACCTCTCGGCGGGTGCAGAGGCTGTTATCAATAACAGGAAACGAAGTTGTCAGGAGGGGCAGAAGGGAGAGAGAGACCTGCAGAGAAAGGAAGCGGTTAGAAGCAGCCACTTCCATTTTTGCTGCGCCCACGCTCTGCTGGGCTGGGGGAGCAGTGCTGGCTTTCTGCAGGTCTGTCTGGCCTGGGATGGGCAGCGAGCTGCTCACAAAGAGCACACAGAGCCCCTCCAGCCCCACGATAACAGCAGGAGAGAAAAAAGCAAACCAGGGGCGGTTAAAAATAGCCAACGTCCGGTGGTGAGAGATGCAGCGAGCCGAGCAGATGCTGACTTTGGCAGCCCATGGGGGTTCAGCTTCTGAATCTGGATGAAAAACAGCGTGTGTGACACTGAGGGCACCACGTGAGCCCTGCAGGTCAGAGCTGTGGATCCGGCGTGGCTCAGAGCAGCGGGGATTTGCCTGCAGCTTCTGCAGGAAGCCGTGCACATGGGCTCGAGGAGCTGCCCAACAAACCAGTGCCACTGGGTGAAGGTGACCCAGAGCGCGGCCCCTCCAGCTCTCAGCTGCTGACGTGTCCTTCCCTCCTCGCAGATGGTTGCACAACTCGCCCCAGCGCCTCTTCCTCTTTTCTTGGGCGAGCTGAGCAGCTGGGTCCCAATGGATCTTTGAATTAAGGCCACGTTTTCCAGATCTTTGCACTCGGTTCTCCTGCTCTCTTTTAACATGTCAGAGTATGAGTAGGCCAGCATTGGTGAGGCTGCACTTGAAGTGCTGGGATCAGTGCTGAGCCCCCCCAGAACTTGGGTGCATTGGAAAGAGCCCAGTGGAAGGCCACCGAGGTGCTCAAAGGACTGGAATGTCTCTGCTGGGAGGAGAGGCTGAGAGAGCTGCGGCTGCTCCACCTGGAGCAGAGGAGGCTCAGGGTCCCATTCATCACCATAAACTCCTGTAGGGAGGGGCAGAGAGGCAGAGCCCAGAAGCAGGGCAGGGGGCACTGGGCACGAACGGGAGCCCAGGAGGGTCCCTGTGACCATCAGGGACTGCTGTGCTGTGTGGGTGATGGAGCACTGCACAGGGACCAGACAGGCTGTGGGGTTCCCTCCTCAGAGATCTTCAAACCCACCCAGACGTGGGGCTGTGCACCAGCTCTGGGAGTCTGTGCTGGACCGGGCTCTGAGCACCTATTGAGGTGTAGGTGTGCCTGTTGATTGCAGGGAGTTGGACCAGATGGGCTTTAAAGGCTCCTTCCTGCAGAAACGATTCTCTGATTCTGTGATCCTGTCCTATAGGGCACACCCTACAGGCAGACCCTGCATGCAGGCAGTGGGATACATGGCACGTGCAAAGGAGACAAATTCCCAAAGTTCAAGTCCTCGGTCCTACACTTCGGCCCTGGGTGGCAGCACCCAGCCTGGCTGGCTGTCGCCCTAAAACACATCGATCTGCCCCTAGAGGAGCTCCCTGCATTGCTGTGCACTGCAGGGCTCACCGAGGATGTGCTGATGCAGCCAGAGGGCAGCAATGCTGCGAATGCATGGGCTGCAGCACTCAGTTCCTCCAGCACACAGCCCAGGCACGCCTGCATCTACGTGGGCCTGCATCTACATGTGATGTTTGTGGGTCCCCTCCCATGTACTCTGTGGTTCTGTGGTTCCATGGTTCCATGTTTGTATGATTCTGTGATTCTACAGTTCTGTGATTTGGTGCTTCTATGATTTTGTTGTTCTATGATGGTATGATGCTGTGATTCTAACGTTCTATGATTCTGAAATTTTATGATTCTGTGTCTTTGGGTTGCCCCAGCACGGACCACATCTTGCTGCTTCTGCACCCACAGGTGCTCCCAGGAGACTCCAGCCGAAGAGGGGACAGAAATGGGCACAAATGTCTGCCAGCTCTCCATCCCAACCGCAGCCAGTTTTCTGATGCTGTCAGGTTGTGGATGCAGGGCAGACCATGAGGGGTCTCCTGTCGCAGTGACAGCTGCCCCACGTGTCGGTGTCCCCTCTGCCTGTCCCCTCTCCAAAGCTCGGGCTGTCCCCTTGCATGGACACTTGCAGCCTGGCTTTCAGCACAGACTCTCTGCCAACAGCCTTATTTTTTTCATAATGCTCAGCAGCAGAGGGGGAAGAGGATGTTTGTCAGCCAAACAAATATCTGTGCCTGTCCCTCGGGGGGGCAGAGGGGAGGGCAGAGGAAGAAGCAGTGGGGATGGAGGGGCTGTGCAGGGGGTCAGGGGGCAGTGGGATGTGGGGGTGCTGGGGGGCAATGCTACCGTGCAGGTGACCTTACATGCATGCACCACTGCTCAGGACCCCAGCACAGCTCTGCCTCACCTGC